ATCTTGTGTGTGTGGACTTTGGGTCACACATGCACCAACAAGGGTTATGGGCCCAGTCTGCGCTAAGGATAACACTCAGATGTCTGCATAACTTCTGATGTGTGCAAGGTTTGCCAAAGCTCTCCAGACAGTCAGAGATTTTGGCAGAATAAGAGTTAAAGTGCTGTGCATGCCTGGAAGCCTTTATCTGTGAGAATGAGTTGGAGGTCTGCCAAGAGACAGTGTGTCCTTGACAGGGTTGCTGAGATAGTGAAAGCATGGAGAGAGAAGTTCGGTTTGAGAAGATGAAAGCTGGCAACTATGCAATGTGGAGTGTGTGTGCTGAAGATCTCCTGGTGAGAGAGGATTTATGGGACATAGTGGAAACACCTCCAAAACCATCTCAAGTGGAAGAAGACAGAAAGGCTAGGGCAATGCTGACCCTAGAAACTTGTCAACTCAACCATGTAAGAGGTAAAAACACTGATTTTGAAGTTTGGCATGCTCTAAGAGAAGTGCACCAATCAGACAGTTCTTTATCAAGGATGATTTGGTGTAAAAGACTGTACAGCTGTAAGTTACATGATGGTGACTCCATAACTGAGCATCTTGGTAAAATGCAGGAACTTTTTGCACAGGTGGAAAACCAAGGTGTGGTAATTCCTGACTGTCAAAATCATATATTTTGATAGGGAGTCTGACAAAGGATTCTTAATGTACAGTCTGCAAAACACTGCTGAGAAAGATGTCAACCTGGATCTAGTGTTGGCACACATCTTGGAGGAAGTCCAGAGACGTGACTTTGAGAACAGGTTGCAGAGGAGAAAGTCAGCACACCACCAGTATGCAGCACCCAGGCATCTCCCCATCTCTACAGAGTGAGAGAGCTGCGATCTGCAGGGGAAAACACATTCGCCAATATAATCCCATAAAAAACTCTTTATTGGCTGATTTCTATTTGCTTGTTGTTGTGTACCTTCAAGTAATTTCCAACTTGTGGCATGTCAGTATGGTGGATGATGTGTGTTGCAGTAGTGTTTACCATGCAGCAGAGTTGACAGGAAAAGCTGACCCTTCTCCTGCACGCCTCCAGACTTTTCTTCCCATCTGGAACTTGATGAATCTCCTGCCTCAGCTTTCCAGCTGTCCAGCAGTCAGAAACCACTCCAGTTGTAAGCAAATAAAATGAAGCTTTATTGCTACAACTATTAAGCTATGTACAGTCTTTGGTTATTTACAAATAATTCCCTGCAACACCACACAGCTTTAAACCAGATGAAAACACCAACACCTCCCATCTCTCTCTCTCAATGTTTAGACAAAGGTTTTTGTCTCCCTCCAAGCTTCCACCCACTTGGGCATATCCCTCATTGTTGATTGGATGCGACTTATTTTCCCAGACCTTTAGTCCATCCCCTGGTGCCTGTGTCATTACCCATGTGACCTGCAACGTGTCAACATGCTGACACTATGTGTTTATGTACAGTACTTTCCACTTTCCCAAAATACCTTGTTGTTTTCCTCCTCTCTGGTGTCCTGTTTATGTCTGGTGAGACATCTGGTGTTTTCTGGCCTATCTTTCCCTCCAAGCCTTTCTCACAGGAAAGTTTTCCCATACATCTTGTACATTTCCACAACTGACTCTAAATCCCATCTACTAATTTCTGACATGGTGACCCTAAGGCAAACTGTCATGGGATTTTCTTGGCAAGATTTGTTCAGAGAGAGATTGCCTTTGCTCTTGTCTGAGGCTGAGAGAGTGTGACTTGCCCAGGGTCACCCAGTAAATTTCCATGGGTATTTATTTCAATAGGCACCAAGTAGTTCTGCCTCTAGGCATATAATGATACGGTTTTACTGATTAAAAGTGATGAATCTCCTAAGATATTCATGAACAGAAGATAATATCACAAAAGATGGTGGGCAATCCTGTGTCAGAGTTTTCGGTAATCATTTACAGAGTATTCCAAGACTTCTTTATCAAACGCTAGATGGACAAATTGAATGTTTCCAAGATCCAACACACCACCTTTCATACCAGATTGAATGGTGCGAAAATATCTAAGGAACATCCTCATAATGAAGCAGTTAAAACTACAATCCTGTACACACAGATCTGGAAGTAAGGAATACTGAACTCAATAGGATTCACTGCTGAGCAACACATGTAGGATATGTTGTAAACAGTCCACTAGCCTAATGCCGTGTACCGTGACAAAGAACAGCCACCCTATGTCTTAGATGGAGACCCCCACCAGTTCTCTTATGCACATTCTTTTACTTAAAGGTAATCATGGAGAGCCAGCATGGCATAATGGTTTGAGCATTGGGTTGGAACTTGGGAGATCAGGGTTCAATTCCTACTTGGCCATGAAACCCACTGGGTGACCTTAGACAAGTTGCATGCTCTCAGCCACAGGGAAAGGCAATGGCAAACCCTCTTTGAATAACTCTTGCTAAGAAAACCCCATGATAGGGTCACCATAAATCAGATACGACTTGAAGGCACAAAGCATGCAAGCAATCATAGACAAATGGGTGATCTTGAAACAAGAGTAGATGAACTACCAATACTCTGCCAATGAACTACTTCACTAAGAGATTCTCTGTCAGATTCCACAGGAACAAAAGTCCTGCCTGCAGTGCATATTACATTTTCTAAAATCTGCAACTCAGTCCTCCAATCCTCAGTCACCAGAGCAGCAGTAGGTATATAAACATTTATGATGCTCAGTGTGATACACGATTACATAGAGGTGTTCCACTGAGTTCAGTGGTGCTTACTTCCATGTACGCAGACTGGAATGTAAAGGTCTAATTATCACAAATGTAAAGCAGGCTTTGCAACTGATCTTTCACTTACCCTACAGTTTACTGCAGCCCTGTGTAGCCCCAGAAAATCATGTTTAGAGGCTCAAGGGAGTGTCCCTAGACACAAAGCTGCATTGGCTGGGCGAATGAGGCAACTTGCTGTAAGTAGGGCTGTTTGTACAAAATTATTTTCTCCCAGTTTTGTGTGATTTTCCCTGTCCAGTACAAATCTACAGAATATAGACCATATTGCAGCATAGGATTCTCCATTACTTGGTAAGTGGTTTGGGGGAAAAACAGGATCTGGGATGGCAGGAAAGAGAAAACATTGTTTGTGAATACAGTCACCAGCATCTCCAGGAATTCTGATCCACTGCTAGTGTAGCTATGTACAGACGCTGTCCATCACTATTACATCAGTGCAGATGAGGTAGAACAAGCTATTCTAGGAAACAGCTGGACATTAGGAATAAACTATCAACCCAGTCATATAGAAAGATTGATCTTATAGTGGATGAAATAATCACATCGATTTTTGATTGTAGAGGCCCTATTCTGTGCCCCAATGTTGAAAACAGAAACCAGACATTTGGGATCAAACAGAATGATGAAAATATCATTGTTGTAATCTTCATATGAGGAATCTATCTGATTCCAATCGGAGTTGGAAAAGATTTCACTGGCCCCTCAAATGTGGGAAGAGTCCGAAAAACGAGAGAGAGGTGGGAGCAGAGGGTGGACTGGCACTCTGGAGACTGTGAAAATCAAGAGGAGATTCTTTTAGATGGCTTCTGAGAGAATCAAAGAACCCAAGGCAGACTCTTTGCAAACTACCAACAAGTTATTGTGAACTATGGAAACTTTTGGTAAAGGTAAAGGTAGTCTCTTGACATGAATCTCTAGTTGTAACTGACTGTAGGGGGCGGTGTTTATCTCTGTTAACTAAACCGAAGAGCCAGAAGCAAAAACTACTCCAGTGGTCATGTGGCCAGCATGACTGCACCGAATGTTGTTACCTTACCACCTAAGTGGTACCTATTTATCTACTTGCATTTGCATGCGTTCAAATTGCTAGGTTGGCATAAACTGGGACTAGAGACAGGAGCTCACCCCATCATGCAGCACCTGGGCCTCAAACTGCCAACCTTCCAATCTTCCAATCGTCAGAATTGGCATCTTAATCACTAAGCCACCACTGATGTATAAAAGAAAATAAGCTTTATACACTGTCTGAACAGCAAAATTAGTTTACTGAATCAATTTTTTAAATTAAAAATGTAAGATTTAAAACTATGCACAGCTAAGCTACATATTGAGCTGTACAGCTGAGCCTCAGTTTCATTTTTTACTTCCATGTAACCACACTGAGGCTTAAACTAGTTCAGGACCAGCATACAAGGATTTAAACCTCTTCCCAAGGATTCACTCCATCTTTTCCTTATAAAGTTTTTAAAGGAAAAAAAAATATGTCCCATCAACCACCATCTTTTCAATCTTTGTACTGGTGAGGGATTTAGAAAGGAGTTCTAAAGTTTTAATTGTAAGCAAATGAATAATCCCTATGAGATTCATTACATGGCTTGCAAGTTCCACCTTCTGTCATTTATCTTTTTAATCTAGCATGGTTAAAATGTTCTGTTTGGGTTGACTGAAATGAATAAGTATCATTTAAGAAACCAGTTGTAAAACCAGAAAGGTGAAGTTAAAACCAGTTTCAAGGCTACAGAAGGCTACCAGCAGGTTGTACTTTGGCTCTCTTCCATGAAAACTGTTTCACAGATCACTAACTTTGTCTCTTTTAGTTTTTAAAAACAAAAGAAATATGAAGTGTTTTCTTGGCAGTTATATATAAACATGAAAGGCTGGACATGTGAAATAGTTTCCTCTTCTGGCCACAATCCATTATAACTTTAGAACTGCTTTGTGCCTAAATTCAGAAACCTTTTCTACCTTGTTTTTATCGACATCAGTTATTTCAACAATGCAGCAGTAATTGTAGGCATGTCAACATGCCCCCCCCATTCATAACCTACGGTAAATTTTCTGCTTGTTTTTGTTGTTGTGCCTTCAAGTCCTTTCCAACTTACGGTTGCCTTAAGGTCACCATGTTTGTGTTTTCTTGCCAAGATTTGTTCATAGGGGTTTTTGCCAGTGCTTTCCTCTGCGGCTGAGAGAATGTGGCTTGTCCAAGATCACCAAGTGGGTTTTCATGTCCAAACAGGGATTTGAACCCTTATCTCCAGTGTTGTAGTCCAATGCTGAAACCACTACACCATGCTGGCTCTTTCTACTTGCACTTTATTACTAATAATTATTCTGTTCTTCCTGATAGTACATTATCTTATCTTACGTCATGGTTCTTAAACTCAAATATGTATATCAAGATGTGTTGCTTATTTTATAACCTTGACATGTTCATAGCTCTTTCAACCCAAATCATGTTATCTTCCTAAGTATAAAATGTTTATGCCATATTTCAAACTTATATTATCATTTTTTTCTTTCTAGTAATGCACAACCACTTTTCATGCAAAGATTAAATGTGCCTGAATATTAGAACAAAAATTTTCAACATTAAACATCATACAGCACCCCAGTAAAACAAAGAACCAGGCAGATTATTAATCACAAACTTCCAGCAGTTATGGTTTCCAGATCAAAAACAATATCCATTGTGTTCTTGGGCACTCTGTTTCAGATTAAAAGAACAACATTGAGATAAATTATGTGAAACACTTTGTACCCTAGAAAAGCACCATTGTTCCCTTAAATAGTGAACTTGTCTGGTTGTTGTTGTTTTTATACACCATCGAGTCTATCACTAGCGACCCTGTAGATGAGACATCTCCAAGACTCCCTATCCTCCACTGCTCTGCTCAGGTCCTGCAAATTCATACCTTAATAGAGTACATCCATATACCGTGCAGCTTTCCTCACTTTTTGATTCCATCTTTCCTAGCATTATTGTTTTTTCTAGAGAGTCATGTCTTCTCGCGATGAGGCCAAAGTACGACAGACTCAGTCTAGTAATCTTAGCTTCCAGAGAGATTTCTGGTTTGATCTGCTCTAGGACCCATTTGTTTGTCCTTTGGCTGTCCACAGGATCCTCAGTGCTCTTCTCCAGCACCACATCTTGAATGAATTTTCTTCCTATCTGCTTTCTTAATTGTCCAGCTCTCGCATCCATATTTGGTGATAGGGAATACAAAGGCTTGTATGTTTCTTACTTTCAGTGTCAGTTGTATGTATTATATTTTAGGGTGCTTTCTAGTTCTCTCATAGTTACCTTCCCCGTTCTTAGTCTTCTTAAGATTTTTTGACTGCAGTCCCCACTCTGATCTATGTTTGATCCCAGGTATGAAAATTCTTTTACTATTTCTATTTCCTCATTGTCTAGGATGAATTTTTGTCAATTATCTGTGGTCATTATTTTTGTTTTCTTTATGTTCAACAATAAGCCTGCCTTTGCACTTTCCTCTTTGATCTTCCTTGGTAATTGTTCCAAGTCTGTGATATTTTCAGCTAGTAGTATGGTGTCGTCTGCGTATCTTAGATTGCTGATATTCCTTCCTTCTGTGTCCAATCCTGCTTTTAGTATAATATGTTCTGCATACAAGTTGAACAGATAGGGTGAGAGGATGCAGCCTTGTCTGACCCCTTTTTCCTACTGGGAACCATTGTGTTTCTCCATGTTCTGTCCTGACAGTAGCCTCTTGTCTAAGTAAAGATTCCTCATCAGGACTATCAGATGTGTTGGTCTTTAAGGGCATTCCATAGCCTTTCATGATCTATGCAGTCAAAGGCTTTGCTATAGTCTATAAAGCACATGCTGCTATTCTTTTGGAATTTCTTGTGGCGCTCCATTAGGCATCGTATGTTTGCAATGTGGTCCCTAGTGCATCTTCCTTTCCTGAACCCTGCTTGGACCTCTGGGATTTCTCTCTCCATGTATGGTTGGAGCCTATGTTGCAGAATTTTGAGCATGATTTTGCTTGCATGAGAGATTAGACCTATGGTCCTATAGTTGCTGCAGTCTTTCATATCGTTTTTGTGGATGGGGATGTATATTGAGCGTTTCCAATCTGTTGGCCATCTGGTTGACTAAACTAAAATCCTGCATTTTTTTTCAATCCTAAAATCCCAGAACTCTCTACTGTTTTTACTGATAGTCCTAGTGACATTTATATGGACAGTCTTGGGGAAATGACAAGACTCTAAAACAGTAATTAACAAATGTTGGTGGACTGCAACTCCCATCATCCCAACTACTGGCTATTCTGGATGGGACTGATGAGAGTTAGAGTCCAATACCATCTGACTGGCCATACATTCCCTAGCTCTCCTCTAAAGAAACCAGAAATTTAGCATCCACTGTGACTCTTATCAATCAAGTTTGTGGCTGAGAGGAATTGAAAAACTGAGAGTAATATGTGAGACAGGAAATGTACGTAAGCAAAAAGAAATAGAGGGCACAAGGAGAGAAGAAACTGAGTTGCTATACTTCATCAAAGGGAATAATAGCAGGAAGTAGATACTGCAGAAGATAGACTGCACTCTACTGGTAGATGTCTGACTTAAGACGGTCAAAGATTTCTGTCTTCCATTCTCTCTGGCTTTCGTTACGTTACCACACTTCAGGGATCAGCGATCTACAGGCCTCCAAAGGTTGTTGTATTGTAACTCCCATCAGCCCTAGCCAACATTGCTAATAATGATAGGTGAAGACAAGTAACTTCAGAAAGGCTGCATGTTGCCCACCCTAATCAGCAGCACATCTCTTCTGGGGTGAGGATGCATTTGCAGCCCACCCTCCCACTTTACAACTTAACAAAAGCAGTCAAGGAGGCTTATAAGTTTACACCTATTTACATGGGAGGAAGTCCAGTTGAACAAGGACAGGTTTATGCTGCATAATCAGCACCATCTGAAAGCCCTAATAGTAGGTGTGTTGCGGGGGGGGGGGGAGTGTGTATGTTGGAGAAAGCAGGAGAATCAAGAAATCTTGGTAAATTAAGTATGACTTTCAGTTGACTATTAATATAGTCACTGAATTTGCCTATGGGTTAAAAACCACCTTTTTGAAGCAAGATCCATGCTTTGTTTTTAGAACACAAAATATTGTTTCAGGATGAGAGACATTCTGGGTTTTTATAAGAAAAAGCAGGGAGGAAATACTAGAAATTATACTCACTCGTTGCAAGGCTGGGTTTTTGTTTTTACAAAAAAAAAAGCACTTTAATTTAAAATGTCTGCTTCTAATTAATTTAGAGAGGGCACTTTTTTAATCACAGTTTTGATTAATTTATAAAATTCTATGGCTCCTGAACAAGAGGAAAATGTATATAGAATAAATAGTAGATAAATATAAAGTAAGAACTACAAAGGGAATGGTAGAAGGATGTGAATGCATGTTCCAGGTCACTTAATGGCAGGGGACGGCGAGACAAAATGAGGCTACTACTCCCCAAATATGAGTTATACCCCCAAACAAAATTTCCTTCAGTCTCCTAATTTATAGCACTGCAGAATGTGAAATTTTAAAAAATGTTCACACCTAACTGGAACTCGTATTTGCTGTGTTGCATTCTCTCAGTAGCTGCCTGCCTAAACTATTTCTAAATCTCAGTTGAATTTTTAATTTACTGCAATGCTAGAAACTTGGGAACTGAAAGAAATGTAAAGGGAGAGAGGTAGAATTCATAGCGGAAGGGACAATTCCCTCATTTTGCCTCCTAGCTAATAACTACACACCTGTGAAGTAGGTTTTTGTTGTTGTTAGCCCACATTTTACAATTGTTGCAGGTATACAATAAAAGATGGCCAAACACCTTTGGAGAAACTGGATTTCCCTTCATTTCCCCAATTTTTTCACATAGACCAATTCAGAGATGGTAGTGCATAAATGTAAAGCTATAATTACTTACCTACCATTCAAGGTAACCAAGTTGAGTATGTCTGCAGTGGATTGCAATGTTAATTGATGTCTCTTTTTCTCCTACACCAGTTTTTTCTAAAGGGGTTTTTAATCATATTCAGTGTCAACCAGGGGGCCTAAAGGAACCAAATGCTGTCATATCTTGGAAGCTAAGCAGGGTCAGTCTGGGTTAGTATTTGGATGGGAGTCCACCAACAAATACCAGGTGCTATAGCCTATATTTCAGAGGAAGGAACTGACCAATCCACCTCTAAATTCCTTACCTAAGAAAACTCTTAAGAAATTCATGGAGTCACTAAGTTAACAGGACACACACTCCATTTCAACCTTCTGTCCAGGAGGAATGTCAAAATCCTTAAGAAGCATAAATTTAAATTTATATGCATGTTTTTAGCTTTTATTTGGTCATGTCTGTTTCTAAATTCTATAGATTTTAGGCAAGAAAGTTACTAAGGGAATGCAAGCACTGCAAATATAGGAGTTCCAATTAGGTGTGAACCCCCTCCCCCCTTTTTTTAAAAAAAACACCACACAATTATCTCACATTCTGCAATGCTATAAAATTAGGGGACTGAAGGAAATTTTTTTGGGGGGGGAGAGTATACATTTCTCTTTTGAATGTCCTCCTTTATGGTTGGGACACCTTGGTCACTCTGCCTAAATTTGGGAATCACTGTGGGATATAGGTGTATATTCTGGAGACCAGGGTTCGATTCCTTGCTGGGCCATGAAACCCATAGAGTGAGCTTGGGCAAGTCACACTCTCTCAGCCTCAGAGGAAGGCAATGGTAAACCTCCTCTGAGGAAACTCACTTGGCCATGGAAACCCGGAGTGACCTTGGGCAAGTCACACTCTCTCAGCCTCAAAGGAAGGCAGTGGCAAAAGCCCCTCTGAAGAAACTCACTTGGCCATGGAAACCCACAGTGAGCTTGGGCAAGTCATACTCTCTCAGCCTCAAAGGGAGTCAACACCAAAAATCCCTCTGAAGAAACTCACTTGGCCATGGAAACTCACCGGGAGACCTTGGGCAAGTCACACTCTCTCAGCCTCAGGAGAAGGCGGCAGGGCAAAAACACACACATTTTTTTGGGAACGACTTGAAGGCACACAACAATTACAAAGGTATCACTGCGTTGTGGGTTGTGGATGTATTTTCCTTTATGGCAATGAAAGCCAGTATGGCACAGTGGTTTCAGTGTTGAACTATGACTCTGGATTAGGGAAGGAAGGAAGGAGGAATGGAAGGAAGGAAGGAAGGAAGGAAGGAA